TCAAAGGAAAAGGCGAAGGATGTGATGGAAGAGATAGTTTGAGACCATCTCACTTTCCGAACTGACGGCAACTACACAGTCTCATACGTAAGCAGCTCGAAATGGCTAGCAACTGGACCACCACGACACTAGGTAGCATACAATGCTGTTGTGTCCTAAATTTGTCAAGCCAGTGATTGTCACAGAAGCAATACATCACTTGGATGACATAGAAGCCACTGGGTCGAGGTAGGATGATGACTGTAGAGTTGTTTGGAAACCCGTCTTGAGACTGAAGTGATGCTTGGAATACAATTTGAGAAGTTAGATTGATTAGAGTGTGTTTCCGGTTTCCCTACTCATTGCTCTGGTCCACTTATTTAGTCTGTTGTCGCATACCCTAATTGTCTCCCCTTGTGTGCGCTCTTGAACCAGGTTCCGGGTCATCGCTCCGCTCTGTGAGACAATATACTAGCCTTGGTTTAACTATACTATGCTAAGATCTTGCATAGTACAATAAATCCCCAATAAACGGGCACCCAATGATACGTCGAACCAGCAGACTTCATCTTGCACAATTTTGTGGTCTTCATTGACTCTGGCAGGTCTCCTGCCAAACCGTTTCATGAACTCCTTGAAGCGAAACACCTTGGTAATAGTTCGGTGGTTGTCGCTCTTCATGTATTCATAGGCCATTTAGAGACTCGCAAGAATATCATTGAAGGTTCCCTCCTTGATGTGGCCCCTCCATCTCCCAGCTTGGTGTAAGACGCCACGATTCAGCTTGAGAATGCTGAGGATACGGACCACGTCGACTAAAGCCGTTAGCTCAGAATCATTTTCGTCTACAGTGAAATTCAACAGATCCGGTTCGTTATCATGACCGTACGTAAACTGGAATGCAGTTTATTTATCATCTATCCTCTACGATTCTGATTCTAACTCGGTGAATCCCAAGTCATCCGCATTGTGCCCGTCGATGCCGATTTCCGGAGCTTCTCTGTTCTCTGCTGAAAGTGGCCCAGTGGGGTTGAAGTATCCCAACCACAGTGCTCAAATGTTTCCCCCATACTGAAGTCATTGAAACGAGAGAATGTCTGAAGGTGTAACGGGGTTACACGGGTTTACACCTGGTGTATTCCACACATGGGTACGGAGTACCCGAGTTAACAAACCTTCAGTACATGACTTTTCCGAACTGACGGCAACTACACAGTCTACTGTTTCAAATGCAACAACGAAGCCTATGGCTGCTGAAGGAAGAAACACGAGCAGCCTCGAACGC